TAATTAGAGATTGTGTTATGTTAAAAAGGCTTTCAATATAGCCTGAACTTTTGATGCTTTGGCAGTTTGCTGAAACTGTTGTCAGGTCAAAACAAAAGCAAATTTTTATTTGGAGTAAATATGTTGATGGTTCATAGTTGGTATAGTGTGGTGTAATGTCAAAGCAGTTTAGATTTAGAAGCCGTTATATTTGTGTCAGTCTCACCTTTAGCCACTTTAAAGCCGGTGGACTGGAAAAGATCAGAAATTTACAAGAATAATTTTAATAGTTTTATCAGTTTGAAGAAGCTGGCATGACGCAAACTTAAATTTCCAAAGATGGTAAAAAGATTTTGAGACCATCCCCCTTAAATTATCTTTAGTTTCCAACCTTTTTGTATTTAAGTGTAAATCTGGTTTTCCAGTAAAAACAGGAATCTTGTCGTTAGTCTAATAACTAACAATGCTCTGCTTTTGCCTTTAAGGTGAGCCACAGACTTTTGACCTGAAATTCAAGCGTGCTGAGGATTACCCCATCGACTTGTATTACCTTATGGACCTCTCGTTCTCCATGAAAGATGATTTGGAAAATGTGAAGAACCTTGGCACTGACCTCATGAGGGAAATGCGGGAGATCACGTCAGACTTCAGGATAGGTACGGTTAAAAACATGAAACCAAATAAATGTCCTTCAAAACAGCAGAAAACCCTCAGCCTTCCAAATGAGTTTATAATCCCAAGTTAAGAAATGCTCTCCTTTTTGGTTTGGCATTAAGGTTTTGGCTCCTTTGTGGAGAAAACGGTCATGCCTTACATCAGCACCACACCCGCCAGGCTAATCAACCCCTGTTCCAACAACGAGAACTGTACAAGCCCCTTCAGCTACAAGAACGTCCTGAAGCTCACCAGCAACGGAGACAGGTTTAACCAGCTGGTCAGTCAGCAGCAGATCTCAGGAAACCTGGACTCTCCAGAGGGGGGGTTTGATGCCATCATGCAGGTGGCAGTCTGTGAGGTGAGCGTTTAATTAATTAAGCTTGTTTTTTTGTTTTTTTTTTCATTCTTCTGTGCCTGCAAAATGCATAGAATACAAATAAGTATAAATAAGATAAATAAGGATATCTTCTTGTTTTGATCCCAGGAGCAAATTGGCTGGAGGAACGTGACTCGTCTGCTGGTGTTTTCCACTGATGCTGGTTTCCACTTCGCTGGAGACGGCAAGCTGGGCGGCATTGTCCTCCCCAACGATGGGAAGTGTCACCTGGAAAACAACGTGTACAGTATGAGCCACTACTACGTATGTACCATCATGTCTTTAACACTAACAGTAAATCCAGGGAGAGCTGACTGAGAATGAGAGCTGTTATATGTTCACCTTTTTTAATAATGGTCTCAGTTTTATTGTATCTTCACATAACCCATATTCTTTGTTAATAGTTTGTTTGTATGTTTAACAGGATTATCCCTCTATTGCTCACCTGGTCCAGAAGTTGAGCGATCACAACATTCAGACCATCTTTGCTGTAACTGAGGAATTTCAGCCTGTTTACCAGGTAAC